GTATGATATGTTTAAACCCCACCCCTCCCCCCCCCCCCCCCCCCCCCCCCACACACACACACCCCCATACACACACACGCCCAGCTTTTTTTTTTTTTTGACTGACGGCGTCAGTCCTCAAGAGACCCGAGTGCAGAGGTATGACGAGTAAAACTTTATCCCTCCCCCCTCTCTTTGTTCGACCCCATCTTCTTTTTCAGTCCAAGACGGAATAACGCACGTACGCTGACCATATCAGTCTGTTTGTCGTAGAAAAAAAAGAACCGTTTGTGTCTCCTCAACAAAGAGCGAAGTGGGGGAGTAGATGAGGCTCACAGCCCAGAGACCATTACCCTGTAGGAAGGGGGCATGTGTCTGTGCCTCGGACTGGAGCCCGGGCTTCCATTTGGACTGGTGCAGCTGGCGTCAACCCCTCCTATGGAAGGTAAGTACGCGTGGTGCAGGATAGGCAGCTGCAACGACAGTCGACGCTGTATGCTGCAAAGAAGGCGACAGGGATAGTGTCAGAAAATATAGCGCAGTGATTAGGAACATGCAGGATACGTGTTAAACATCATTTTACATGTGCACTTTGTCTGTGCCTGTACCACTAATCTGAATTACTAGATTTTTTTTTTAAACTTTTAGCTGCCTACTCAATTTTAGCATATTCTGATTTATGTTTTATTCTTATTTTTTTTTTAGTAAAATGCAATGTAAGGTAAATACATATTCTCACAGAAACCCAGCAAAACTTTTATGTAGACTCGACATATGTCAATGAAAGCAGGAAATGAAAAAAAAAAAAAAAAAACATTTATCATATCTTTTCCTGATCTTCCAATTTTGTATTATCTATGAAAAATGTTTCAAATTTTTTTTACATTTCGCAACCAGCTTTTGAAAATGGGGCAGATGGCGCAATAAGTGATGAATACTTCTACTGCTGCCAAATGCATAATGACGGGATCGCCTAGTTGAGCAGGTACCGTTGCCTTGGTCAGTGGTGCTGCTTTGATTTGTGCTCAGGCTTGTAAAGTCTAATTGATCTGGACATCCGTTTGGATCATTTAGGTGTTGGTTCATCCAGCTTCATGGGCTGCTTTCACATATTTGGCCCCTCCCACGATTGCTGAGCATAGATTTGATATTGCATCACTGATTTTAAAAGAGCAACACAGGTGGGTGCACCTGTGTTCATAAGAATACTTTACACTCGCCCTTAGTAATGACGTCAACCAAGACAATTAATTATGAAACGAATTCATTTTGAAATTAGAACTAGATCTCTTGCTGTTTGTAACTGCACTCTGAATTTGCTTCCATCTCATATGAAACACTGAAAAACTCAGCAAGGATTATTAAATTGTCTTTTTAATTTGAGTTTATGCCCAAACCACAACCGATTAGCTGCATCGCGTCACGAAAGCAAAAAGCAAACGATTAAATGTCTGGAAAGCCACTGTAAGAAATATTTATTAAAACCAAACTCCTACAGCTTGTTTAGTAACTTTTTAAGATGTCAAAAACGGCATTTTTCTCGGTAAACATGTCAGCCACGTGTCGGGACATTGATATGCAAATATCCCAAAAATTAGACATTTCAAACTCCCCAAAAGTGCTTGGAAAAACAAGCCTGAATGTTTGTCAAGATTCTTGAAAATTGAAACGTTGCTGTTTTTACAATAAAGGCCGGACGAGACATGAAAAGCAGATGTCTACAATTTACTCCTCCCTGTTCAAAAAAGACCTTTTCAGATAAGACTTTCCCTACTAGCTATAGGCGACATTTCAGATGATGGGAATTCACCAAATAATCTAAAAAAAAAAAAACATGTAACTATGCCAACTATCTGAAATTACTTTAAAGAATGGACTGTAGATGTCTAAAATTACCTGTAACAATCAGATTGTAGAATTCTAAATACTTGTAATAATGGCATTATAAATCACAAGATGTTAAATATAGTTAATATTTGTAATAGTGGGTAAATAGAGTTGCTACCCCAATAAAGATGGATAACAAAAGCTATGTAATAGGTCTTGGGAGGTGTGAGGTTTTAAACACTGGTTAATTCTGAACTGGACAAACCACCTTCTGATTTCTTTTTTTTTATTTTTTTTTTATTTCATTTATCCAGAAATTAAATATAAACATGCGCTTTGATGATCCTGTAAAATTTTATGATGCCCAATTCTCCTGCAACATACAGTTAGACTATATAATATATTTTGGTAGCTGCTGCTACGTCAAATATTCAATTACATAAACGTCCAAACAATGAACAATCTGAATGAGATCAGACCGGCGTAGCCTGAGTAAGTGAGGTTCTCACTTACTCCTCTGTTTGTTTACCGCAGAGCAACGAGCAGCCATTTTCCCCGGCTTTACCTCCATTCTTACTAAGCCCATAAGACCCCATTCCTCCAGCTTTCGGGATCATCTGACTAAAAGAACATTTCATGCTTCAGCCCGGTGTGACACTTCGCCACCCCACTTCACCAGAATCTCTTCCAGTCGTTGGCAAAGATATTACATAACCAAAGACTTATGTAAAAAAAAAAAAAAAAAAAAAAAAAAAAAAAAAAGGGGGGGGGCTGGGGGGGGGGGGTAAAAAAATTTCAAGATATTCCGCAGGAATACAAAAAAAAAGTCTAA